GAAAGTTTTTATGAAGTCACAAATCGTAAGTTTTTTTCATGATTCTTTACCAATATTATGAATAGTTTAATTAAATTTCTTTAATTGCATCGATTATTAACGTAAACAATCCATCATACATCAAAGAAAAGGTTGATGACAATAAAGGTAGTAACATCCCAATGCCACTGAGTATGTGGGTAAGTTTTTATTTTATATATTTGGTTCTTGTTTTCTTAGTATTTTATTATTTAATTTTAATTTATACAGGATTTTGGACATTGTGATCCAAAAAAATGTTCAGGTAAAAAATTAGTTAGATTAAATATAGTAAAAGAATTAAAAATATCAACCAGATTTCGTGGGGTTGTATTAAGGTAAAGTTAAATTTGATTTTCTATTCTATCTCTTTTACCTTTAATCTTGGTAATTAACACTAACTATCTACTAACTCTAAGTCCGGAAGGAAAGCAGGCAGTTTCACCGGCAGATCGAGCAATTGTACAAGAACATGGAATTGCTGTTGTTGATTGTTCTTGGGCTAAATTAGACGATGTTCCATTTAGTAAATTGAAAACTGGGAATGATCGATTATGTAAAGTCTACCTTTTTTTCGATCGTTTCGCATACATAAAAGTGTCATCAAGTTAAATTTCTATTTACATAGTGCCATATTTAGTAGCTACAAATCCCGTAAATTATGGTCGCCCATGGAAATTGAATTGTGTTGAAGCATATGCTGCTTGCTTTTACATAACTGGTATAACCTATTTACTCTTGATCATTTAAATAACCGAATTTTAAATGTATTTTCTTATAATTAATTATCTTAATAGGGTTCAAAGAATATGCTCAAGAGTTATTATCAAAGTTTAAATGGGGCCACTCTTTTCTTACTCTTAACGGGTAAATATTACTTTTGTATCTCCCTTTCTTTTCAAAGTCGTGAGGTTAACTCATTTTCTTTTAATGAATAGGGAGTTATTATCAAAATATGTACAATGTGAAGATAGTATAGAAGTTGTTAAAGTTCAAAATGAATGGTTAAACCATTTGAAAGAAGAATATTCTCAAGCTCGTGAAAAAGGTGAATAAAATTTATTACATCATATTTGCATCTTTTTTATAAAATTCTTATCTGTGAAATTATTTTTTTAGATGATGATGAAGATGATGATTTATTGATTAGAAATCCAAATCATGAGTTATGGGATCAAGAAGAGGATAATAATGAGAATGAAGAATGATAATTAAAATTTTATACAAATATTTTTGACATAAAACAATACAGTTTAATTTATTAATTAAAAAAAAATATATCAAAGTATATAATTATAAAAATTTTTTTGATATAATATAAAATCAAAATATATTGTTAAACGAAATAACTCTTAATCTAATGATTACATTTTGATGGAAATACTACCATTAGAACCGTTTTGACAAGAGCTTTTCAATGCATATAAGCTCGACCTGACTGCATTAATAGTTCTAGTTAAAAAGAAAAATAGATAAATGAGAATATGTATTAATTATAAAAAATTTAATATTATAATAAGAAAAGACAATTATCCTTTACTATGAATAGACAAATTATTAGACTTATTTAAAGGTTCTCATTGGTTTACTTCCTTAGGTTTATTTTCTAAATTTGTCAAATTAAAATTTAATCAGAAGATATAGAGAAAACTGCTTTCATTACTAGTGAAGATTTATACAAATTTACTGTATTGTTATTTGGATTATGTAATGCTCCTATTACTTTTCAAGAGATAATGAATATTATTTTCCAGAAGAAGAAATAAAAGTTTATTAAAGTTTATATAAACAATCTAAATATTTATTTAAAAATATTTTAAAAGCACTTATAATACTTACAATTTTTGATCATATTAAAAAGATTAATCAAATAAATGTTACTTCTGTATCAATGAAATAACATTTTTGAAACATGTGATCAACAAAAAAAAAATATAATCTAATCTTTCAAAAATCAAAAAAGTTGTCAATTATTCTAAATCTAGAAATTTAATTGAATTAAAAGCTTTTTTAGAATTAGTCTTTTATTATCAAAGGTTTATAAAAGATTTTTCAAAAATATCAGTTCTATTATATAAGCTAACAGAAAAAAAAAAGTTATACATAGAATAATAAACGGCAAAGAGTATTTGATATGTTAAAAGAAAAATTAACAATAATACTAATCCTCATATATTCAGATTTTGATAAACCTTTTGTTCTTTATACTAATGTTTTATAGAAACAGTATTATTTCAAAAAGGAAATAATAGAAAAGAAAAAGATAAAATATTTTAAATATTATATTTTTGGAATTTTACAATTACAGTCAACTCTTTCTACAACGAATTTTGATATAACGAATTTTACAATACAACGGATTTTCATTGTCGGACAG